TACAGCAGGAATTAATTAATTACTCATTCATTACAGGCTCCTTGCACGGCCTGCTCCAGCAGCTGCATCCACCTGCAATTACAGCAGGAATTAATTAATTACTCATTCATTACAGGCTCCTTGCACGGCCTGCTCCAGCAGCTGCATCCACCTGCAATTACAGCAGGAATTAATTAATTACTCATTAATTACAGGCTCCTTGCATGGCCTGCTCCAGCAGCTGCATCCACCTGCAATTACAGCAGGAATTAATTAATTACTCATTCATTACAGGCTCCTTGCACGGCCTGCTCCAGCAGCTGCATCCACCTGCAATTACAGCAGGAATTAATTAATTACTCATTAATTACAGGCTCCTTGCATGGCCTGCTCCAGCATCTGCATCCACCTGCAATAATTACACACGGCAATTAATTACACAAGAGAATTAATTACACACGGGAATTACACACGGGAATTAATCACACACGGGAATTAATCACTCACGGGAATTAATTACACACGGGAATTGCACACGGGGACCCCAGCCCATCCCGGGAATTTTCCAGCCCATCCCGGGAGTTTTCCAGGATTTCTGCTCACGTGTTTTTCTCCGAGGACGTCAGAGCCACCAGCTCGTAGATTTGGGGTCCCAGCTCCGAGGTGCAGATGATGAACAGGGCGCGCTTGTCTGGGGAGGGGGGACACAGAATTCCCAAAATTCCTCACGTTCCCGGCCCCAAAATCCCCCAAATCCCTCCCATTACCAGCCCCAGAATTCCCAAAATTCCCCATGTTCCCAGCCCCACAATTCCCAAAATTCCTGGAGTTCCAGGATTTCTTGCTCCCACCTGTGGCCACGGAGCGCACGAGCAGCGAGCTCGGCTTGAGCACGGGGCTGAACCCCCATTCACCCCATGAAAACCCCCATTTTTTACACAAAAACCCCATTTTTTACACAAAAACCCCATTTTTTCCCCCCAAACCCCCATTTTTTCCCCCCAAACCCCCATTTCCCCCCATTTCGCTCACCTGTGGCCACGGAGCGCACGAGCAGCGAGCTGAGCTTGAGCACGGGGCTGAAGCTCTGCTTGGTGTCGGGGGTGACGCCCAGGCCGCCCCGGCTGTGACACTTCAGCAGCCACCGCTCGTCCTGGCGCTGCAGCAGCACCAGCAGCTCCTCCAGCAGCAGCACGTGCAGCTCTGCCAACCACAGGGCGTTGGGGAATTTGGGGGGATATTTTGGATTTTTTTGGGAGTTTTTGGGGAGTTTTGGGGGATTTTTTTGGGGATTTTTTGGGATTTTTTTTGATTTTTTGGGGGATTTTTTTTTTTTTGTGATTTATTTTGTGATTTTTGGGGATTTTTTGTGATTTTTTGGGAGAATTTTTGTGATTTTTTTGTGATTTTTTTGTGATTTTTTGGGGGATTTTTTTGGGATTTTTTTGGAGTTTTTAGTGATTTTTTTCCAGTTTTTGGGGGATTTTTTAATTATTTTTGGGGATTTTTTTGGGGGGAATTTTTTGTGATTTTTTTTTTTCATTTTTTGGGGCTTTTTTATTTTGGGGGATTTTTTTGGGGAATTTTTTTATTTTTGGGGAATTTTTGGGGATTTTTTAGTGATTTTTTTCAGGTTTTGGTGGGATATTTTTGGGGATTTTTGGATCCCAGTCCCCCCAGTCCGTACCCACGCTCTTGTCCTTGCCCACTCTCCAGGACAGGGGTCCCTCGTGGATCATCCGGTGCGAGGTCAGGTCCAGGTTCTGAGGGACCAAAACCCATGGGAAACACCCCAAAATCCATGAAAACACCCAAAATTCATGGGAAACACCCAAAAACCGATGGAAAACACCCCAAAATCCAGGGGAAGTATCCCAAAAATTGAGGTTTTCCCATGTCATTTTTCCAGTGGGGCGGGGATTAATGGGAAAAGGGGAAAAGTGGGGAATTCCAATGGAAAAAATGGGAGATTTCCATGGAAAACCAAGGGATTCCCATAAAACCCATGGATTCCCAGGGAAAGCCAGGCTGCAGAAATGGGGATTTTAAAGAAAACCAAGGGATTCCATGGAAAATTGGGGTATTCCCAAGGAAAACCGAGGGATTCCCAAGGTAAACCGGGGGATCCCCGTGCAATCCCGGCCAGCGGCAGCAGCCCCAGGGCTGCGGGAGCTCCCTTTTCCCAGAAACGCCGGAAATTCACCCGGAACTCGGCGGCCAGGGGGTTGCTGGTCCTCTCCAGCGCCGACGTGTCCAGGCGCCGCTGGTGCTCCTGCAGGCGCTGCCGGTTCTCGGCGCGGCGCACGGCCTCGTTCACGGCGCGCAGCACGTCCCGGCTCTGGTCACGGGCGCGGAGCAGCTTCTGCTGCTCTGCCGAGCCCCCTGGAACCCAGAAAATCCATGGGATAATGGGAAAAATGGGGAAAATCCAGGGGAAAATGGATTGATCCCCCACCCACAGCACGTCCCGGCTCTGGTCACGGGCGCGGAGCAGCTTCTGCTGCTCTGCCGAGCCCCCTGGGAATGGGGAAATACAGGGATAATGGGGAAAAATGGGAGAAATCCAGGGGAAAATGGGATTGAGATCACTGATCCCACACCCGGAGCAGGTTCTGCTGCTCTGCTGAGCCTCCTGGGCATGGGGAAATACAAGGGAAATCCATGGGATAATCCAGGGGAAGATCCAGGGGAAAATGGGGAAAAGCCAGAGGAAAGTCCAGAGGACAATCCAGGGGAAAATGGGGAAAATCCAGGGGAAAATGGGATCTGGGTCACTGATCCTGGGCCCAGAGCAGCCTCTGCTGCTCCAGGGAGCCAGCTGGGAATGGGATAATCCTAGGAAAAACCCATGGGATAACGGGAAATACCCATGGAAAGATCCAGGGAAAAAATGGGGAGAAAAAACGGGAAAATCCAGGGAAGAACCCATGGGAAAAACCCATGGAAAGATCCAGGGAAAAATGGGGAGAAAAAATGGGGAAATCCGGGGAAAAACCCATGGGATAATGAGAAAAATCCCATGGAAAGATCCAGGGAAAAATGCAGGAAAAAATGCAGGGAAAAATGCAGGAAAAACCCATGGGATAACAGGAAAAGCCATGGGAAGATCCAGGGAAAAATGGAGGGAAAAATCGGGGAAAATTCACGGAAGAGCCCATGGGATAATGGGAAAAACCATGGGAAGATCCAGGGAAAATGGTGAGAAAAATGGGGAAAAACAGGAAAACCCATGGAAAGATCCAGGGAAAAATGGGGGAAAATGGTGAAAATCCAGGGAAAACCAAGGAACTAACAGGTAAAACGGTGTGAGAGCAGGGAAGGGAAGGGGCCCGGTCCCCCCAGGCCAGCGCAGGGAATCTGGGGCGCTCTGTCCCTACCCGGGGTGCACTTGATGACGTTCTCCAGCAGCAGCGGGTACTTGGTCAGGCGCTGCATCTCGGCGATGAGCAAATCCTTCAGCTGCAGCCGCCGGCACTGCGGGTTGCTCTCGGCTCCTGCAGGAGAGGACGGGCCCGAATCAGGGGGTTCTGAATCCTCTGGGTCCCAAAATCCCGGAATCCCAAAGCTCCTGACCCCTCTGGTACCCAAATCGGGGGGTTCCGAACCCCTTTGGTTCCCAAAATCCCGGAATCCCAAAGCTCCTGACCCTCTGGTACCCAAATCGGGGGGTTCCGAACCCCTTTGGTTCCCAAAATCCGGAATCCCAAAGCTCCTGACCCCTCTGGTACCCAAATCGGGGGGTTCCGAACCCCTTTGGTTCCCAAAATCCCGGAGTCCCAAAGCTCCTGACCCCTCTGGTACCCAAATCGGGGGGTTCCGAACCCCTCTGGTGCCAAAATCCCGGAGTCCCAAAGCTCCTGACCCCTCTGGTACCCAAATCGGGGGGTTCTGAACCCCTTTGGTTCCCAAAATCCCGGAATCCCAAAGCTCCTGACCCCTCTGGTACCCAAATCGGGGGATTCCGAACCCCCTTTGGTTCCCAAAATCCCGGAGTCCCAAAGCTCCTGACCCCTCTGGTACCCAAATCGGGGGGTTCCGAACCCCTTTGGTTCCCAAAATCCCGGAATCCCAAAGCTCCTGACCCCTCTGGTACCCAAATCGGGGGGTTCCGAACCCCTTTGGTTCCCAAAATCCCGGAATCCCAAAGCTCCTGACCCCTCTGGTACCCAAATCGGGGGGTTCCGAACCCCTTTGGTTCCCAAAATCCCGGAGTCCCAAAGCTCCTGACCCCTCTGGTACCCAAATCGGGGGTTCCGAACCCCTCTGGGTGCCAAAATCCCGGAGTCCCAAAGCTCCTGACCCCTCTGGTACCCAAATCGGGGGGTTCCGAACCCCTTTGGTTCCCAAAATCCCGGAGTCCCAAAGCTCCTGACCCCTCTGGTACCAAATCGGGGGGTTCGGAACCCCTCTGGGTCCCAAAATCCCGAGTTCCTGACCCCACTGCTTCCCCAAATCCTGGAATCCCGAAATTCCTCGCCCCACTGGCTCCCGGAATCCCAGAGTTCCTGATCCCACTGCTTTTCCACATCCCGGAATTCCTCACCCCACTGGTTCCCTAAAATCATGGAATTCCTGACGCCGCTGCTTCCCCAAATCCAAAATCCCTGGTCCCACCAGTTCCCCGAATCCCAAAACCCTCAGTGAGCCCGAAACCCCAAAATCCCAAAGCACTGAAACCCCAAATCCCAAATTCCTGACCCCGCTGCAGGGAAATAAGGGGAAAAACACGAGGGGGGGAAAATCAGGGGAGGAAAAAATGGAAACAAAAGGTGGAAATAAAGGTATAAAAGGGGGGAAAAAGGTAAAAAATGCAGGAATTCCCTGCTGCAGACCTGCATGAAGAGCTGGAAGCGGGGAACAAATGATGGAAATAAAGGTACAAAAGGTACAAAAGGTGGAAATAAAGGCACAAAAGGACCCCGGACCTGCATGAAGAGCTGGAAGCGGGAACAAATGATGAAATAAAGGTACAAAAGGTACAAAAGGTGGAAATAAAGGCACAAAAGGACCCCGGACCTGCATGAAGAGCTGGAAGCGGCTCTCCTTGCGCTGCTTGGTGCGGATCAGCTCCAGCGCGATGGACTGCGAGGAGCAGAAGGCGGCGGCCACGCGCTGGAACTCGTCCTTGGCGGCGCCCTCGAACTGGGACAGAAACACCGGGATGGGACAGGCGCTCCCGAACGGCCCAAAATCCCCGAATCCCCTCTGCCTGTCGGTCTGTCTGCCTGTCTGCCTGTCTGCCTGTCTGTCTGCCTGTCTGCCTGTCTGTCTGCCTGTCTGTCTGTCTGCCTGTCTGCCTGTCTGCCTGTCTGCCTGTCGGTCTGTCTGCCTGTCCTGTCTGTCTGCTGTCAGCCTGCCTGTCTGCCTGTCTGTCTGCCTGTCTGTCTGTCTGTCTGTCTGCCTGTCTGCCTGTCTGTCTGTCTGTCTGCCTGTCTGTCTGCCTGTCAGCCTGTCTGCCTGTCTGTCTGTCTGCCTGTCTGTCTGTCTGTCTGTCTGTCGGTCTGTCTGCCTGTCTGTCTGTCTGCCTGTCTGTCTGCCTGTCTGTCTGTCTGCCTGTCAGCCTGCCTGTCTGCCTGTCTGTCTGCCTGTCTGTCTGTCTGTCTGTCTGCCTGTCTGCCTGTCTGCCTGTCTGTCTGCCTGTCTGCCTGTCTGTCTGTCTGTCTGCCTGTCTGCCTGTCTGCCTGTCTGTCTGCCTGTCTGCCTGTCTGCCTGTCTGTCTGTCTGCCTGTCTGCCTGTCTGTCTGTCTGTCGGTCTGTCTGCCTGTCTGTCTGTCTGCCTGTCTGTCTGCCTGTCAGTCTGTCTGTCTGCCTGTCTGTCTGCCTGTCTGTCTGCCTGTCTGTCTGTCTGTCTGCCTGCCTGTCTGCCTGTCTGTCTGCCTGCCTGTCTGTCTGCCTGCCTGTCTGCCTGTCTGTCTGCTGCCTGTCTGCCTGTCTGTCTGTCTGCCTGTCTGTCTGCCTGCCTGTCTGTCAGCCTGTCTGTCTGTCTGTCTGTCTGTCTGCCTGCCTGTCTGTCTGTCAGCCTGTCTGCCTGTCTGTCTGTCTGTCTGCCTGTCTGTCTGTCTGCCTGTCTGTCTGTCTGTCTGCCTGTCTGTCTGCCTGTCTGTCTGCCTGTCTGTCTGTCTGTCTGTCTGCCTGCCTGTCTGCCTGTCCTGTCTGCCTGCCTGTCTGTCTGCCTGCCTGTCTGCCTGTCTGTCTGCCTGCCTGTCTGCCTGTCTGTCTGTCTGCCTGTCTGTCTGCCTGCCTGTCTGTCAGCCTGTCTGTCTGTCTGTCTGTCTGTCTGCCTGCCTGTCTGTCTGTCAGCCTGTCTGCCTGTCTGTCTGTCTGTCTGCCTGTCTGTCTGTCTGCCTGTCTGTCTGCCTGTCAGTCTGTCTGTCTGTCTGTCTGCCTGTCTGCCTGTCTGTCTGCCTGTCTGTCTGTCTGTCTGTCTGTCAGCTGTCTGCCTGTCTGTCAGCCTGTCTGTCTGTCTGTCAGCCTGTCTGTCTGCCTGTCTGTCTGTCTGTCTGTCTGCCTGTCTGCCTGTCTGTCTGTCTGTCTGTCTGTCTACCTGTCTGTCTGCCTGACTGTCTGCCTGTCTGTCTGTCTGTCTGTCTGTCTGCCTGTCTGTCAGCCTGTCTGTCTGTCTGTCTGTCTGTCTACCTGTCTGTCTGTCTGTCTGTCTGCCTGTCTGTCAGCCTGTCTGTCTGTCTGCCTGTCTGCCTGCCTGTCTGTCTGTCTGTCTGTCTGCCTGCCTGTCTGCCTGTCTGTCTGCCTGTCTGTCTGTCTGCCTGTCTGTCTGTCTGTCTGCCTGCCTGTCTGCCTGTCTGTCAGCCTGTCTGTCTGTCTGTCTGTCCTGTCTGCCTGTCTGTCAGCCTGTCAGTCTGTCTGTCTGTCTGTCTGTCTGCCTGCTGTCTGCCTGCCTGTCTGTCTGTCTGTCTGCCTGTCTGTCTGCCTGCCTGTCTGTCTGTCAGCCTGTCTGTCTGCCTGCCTGTCTGTCAGCCTGTCTGTCTGTCTGTCTGTCTGCCTGTCTGTCAGCCTGTCTGTCTGTCTGCCTGTCTGTCTGCCTGTCTGCCTGCCTGTCTGCCTGTCTGTCAGCCTGTCTGTCTGTCTGTCTGTCTGTCTGCCTGTCTGTCAGCCTGTCAGTCTGTCTGTCTGTCTGTCTGCCTGCCTGTCTGCCTGCCTGTCTGTCTGTCTGTCTGTCTGCCTGCCTGTCTGCCTGTCTGCCTGCCTGTCTGTCTGTCTGCCTGTCTGTCTGCCTGCCTGTCTGCCTGCCTGTCTGTCTGCCTGTCCTGTCTGTCTGCCTGTCTGTCTGCCTGCCTGTCTGCCTGTCAGCCTGTCTGTCTGTCTGCTTGTCTGCCTGTCTGTCTGTCAGCCTGTCTGCCTGTCTGTCTGTCTGTCTGCCTGTCTGCCTGTCTGTCTGTCTGTCTGTCTGTCTGTCTGCCTGTCTGTCTGTCTGCCTGTCTGCCTGCCTGTCTGCTGTCAGCCTGTCTGTCTGTCTGCTTGTCTGCCTGTCTGTCTGTCAGCCTGTCTGCCTGTCTGTCTGTCTGTCTGTCTGCCTGTCTGTCTGTCTGTCTGTCTGTCTGCCTGTCTGTCAGCCTGTCAGTCTGTCTGTCTGTCTGTCTGTCTGCCTGCCTGTCTGCCTGCCTGTCTGTCTGTCTGTCTGTCTGCCTGTCTGTCAGCCTGTCAGTCCGTCTGTCTGTCTGTCTGCCTGCCTGTCTGCCTGTCTGCCTGCCTGTCTGCCTGTCTGTCTGCCTGCCTGTCTGTCTGTCAGCCTGTCTGTCTGTCTGCCTGCCTGTCTGTCTGCCTGTCTGTCTGTCTGTCTGTCTGCTGCCTGCCTGTCTGTCTGTCTGCCTGTTGGTCTGTCTGTCTGTCCTGCCTGTCTGTCTGCCTGTCTGCCCTGCCTGCCTGTCTGTCCTACCCGGGCCAGCATCAGGTCCCCGATGTCGCCGATGATGGGGCCCTGCTCCTCCCGCAGCCGCCGCATCGAGTCCCACAGAGAACCTGTAATGGGGAAAAATGGGGGAAATGGGGGAAAAGGGAGGGGGACAAAGGGAGGCAAAGGAGGGGAAAAAAGAGGGAAAGGAATGGGAAAAGGGAGGCAAAAAATAGGGGGGGGAAAATGGGGGAAAAAAGGGGAGAAAAAGGGGGAAAAAGAGGAAAGAAATGGGAAAAGGGAGGCAAAAAATAGGGGGGAAACCGGGAGAAAAAAGTGGGGGAAAGGAGGAAAGGAATGGAAAAAGGGAGGAGGGGAAAGGGGAAAAAAAGAGGAAAAGAGTGGGGAAAAGGAGGGGGGAAAAATGGGGGGGAATGGGGGAAAAGGGTAAAAGGGGGGGAAAAGGGGAAAAGAGGGGAAAAGAGGGAAAAAGAGTGATAAAGGAATGGAAAAAGGTAGGGGAGAGAAGGGGAAAAAGAGAGAAAGGAATGGGACAAGGAGTGGGGAAAAAAAGGGGGAAAAGTGGGAAAGGAATGGGAAAAGGGAGGCAAAAAAGAGGGGGAAAAGGGAGGCAATTTGGGATTTCAAGATTTTGGAGATTTGGGATTTCAGAGATTTGGGATTTCGGGGATTTGGGGTTTCAGGATTTTGGGATTTCAGGATTTCAGGAATTTGGGGTTTTTGTCCACTGTGCACGTCGATGAGGTAGGGCAGGTTGGGGAAGAGCAGGATCCCAGTGGGATTTGGGAACCGATGGGGTCAGGAACGCTGGGATTTCAGGGATTTGGGGTTTCAGGATTTCAGGGATTTGGGGTTTCAGGATTTCAGGGATTTGGGGTTTCAGGATTTCGGGGATTTGGGGGTTCAGGATTTCAGGGATTTGGGGTTTCAGGATTTCAGGGATTTGGGGTTTCAGGATTTCGGGGATTTGGGGTTTCAGGATTTCGGGGATTTGGGGGTTCAGGATTTCAGGGATTGGGGTTTCAGGATTTCGGGGATTTGGGGGTTCAGGATTTCGGGGGATTTGGGGTTTCAGGATTTCAGGGATTTGGGGTTCAGGATTTCGGGGATTTGGGGGTTTCAGGATTTCGGGGATTTGGGTTTCAGGATTTCAGGGATTTCGGGGTTCAGGATTTCGGGGATTTGGGGTTTCAGGATTTCGGGGATTTGGGGGTTCAGGATTTCGGGGATTTTTGGGTTTTTGTCTCACTGTGCACGTCGATGAGGTCGGCAGGTTGGGGAAGAGCAGCCCCAGCTCCTCCCGGCTCAGGAGCCTGCTCCCGGCGCAGGCGTTGGAAGAAAAGCAAATCCAGAACGCGCAGGATGCGCAGGTGGGACAGCTCGGTGACAAACAGCTCTGGGGACACATTGGGGACATTGGGGACATTGGGGACATTGGGGACAGCTCGGTGACAAACAGCTCTGGGGACACAGGGGACACATTGGGGACATTGGGGACATTGGGGACATTGGGACAGCTCGGTGACAAACAGCTCTGGGGACACAGGGGACACATTGGGGGACACATTGGGGACATTGGGGACAGCTCGGTGACAAACAGCTCTGGGGACACATTGGGGACATTGGGGGACATTGGGGACAGCTCGGTGACAAACAGCTCTGGGGGACACATTGGGGACACATTGGGGACATTGGGGACACTGGGGACAGCTCGGTGACAAACAGCTCTGGGGACACATTGGGGACACATTGGGGACACTGGGGACATTTGGGACAGCTCGTGACAAACAGCTCTGGGACACTGGGGACACATTGGGGACACTGGGGACACTGGGGACAGCTCGGTGACAAACAGCTCTGGGGGGACACTGGGGACAGTGGAGAGCAGCACCCGACACCCTGAACCAGCCCCAGCACCCCAAATCCTGGGGAGAGAACGGGAATGAGCCCCCCGATCCCGGGGAATGATCGATCCCCAAACCGCAGGAATGCTCCCCCAGAAGCTCTCCCCCCCCAGATTCCCCGTAATTCCCGGCATTTCTGTAATTCCCAGATTCCCCGCAATTCCCACATTTCCATAATTCCCGGCATTCCCAGATTTCCCGTAATTCCCGGATTTCCGTAATTCCGTCATTCCCGTAACTCCCGGCATCCCATAATTCCCGTCATTCAGATTTCCAGATTTCCCCTAATTCTCGCAATTCCAGATTTCCAGGTTCCCCGCAATTCCCGTGGTTCCCGATCTCCTCACCGTTTGATGACCTCCTGCCGATCCACCTCGCGCTGGCACAGGCTGGCCAGCAGCTCCCGGCTCACCGAGTGCTGCCAGCTCTGGGAATTGCTCTGGAGCTCCGCTGCTGCCAGCCCTGGGAGGCTCTGGAATTGCTCTGGGAGCTCCGCTGCTGCCAGCCCTGGGAGCTGGGGGCACTTTGGGGGTTCGGGGCGTTCGGGGGCGCTCTGCGATTCGGGGTCCGGCTCCAGGTCGGGGCCGGGGCCCTGCTCGTCCTCCAGCAGGTGCGGGAGGAAAGCGTCGGCTCCGAGGCCCAGGCTGGGAGAGTCCATGCTCCTGAAACGGGGGAAAAACGGGAAATTGGGGGGGAAAATGGGGGGGAAAATGGGGGGGAAAATTGGGGGGGAAATTGGGGGAAATATGGGGGGAAATGGGGAAAGAAGGGGGAAAAATGGGGGGGAAAAATGGGGGAAATACAGGGGGGAAATTTGGGGGGAAAATGGGGGGGGAAAGGGGGGAAATTGAAGGGGAAAAGGGGGGAAATTTGGGGGAAATATGGGGGGGAAATTTGGGGGGAAAAATGGGGAAAGAAGGGGGAAAAATGGGGGGGAAAAATGGGGGAAATTTGGGGGGAAAATGGGGGGGGGGAAGGGGGGAAATTGAAGGGGAAAAGGGGGGAAATTTGGGGGAAATATGGGGGGGAAATTTGGGGGGGAAATGGGGAAAGAAGGGGAAAAACGGGGCGGAAAAATGGGGGAAAAAAATTGGGGGAAATTAATGTGGAAAAGGGGGGAAAATTTGGGGGAAATATGGGGGAAAATTGGGGGAAGTTTTGGAGGAAATTTTCAGGGGGAAATTGGGGGGGGAAAAGGGGGAGAAAAAAGGGGGGAAATCGGGGGAAATTTGGGGGCAAAACGGGGGAGGAAATGGGGAAAGAAGGGGGGAAAATGGTGGAAATTTCAGGGGAAAATTAGGGGGAAAGTTGGGGGGAACATGGGGGGAAATTGGGATGAAAAGCAGGGAAAATTGGGGGAAGTTTTGGAGGAAATTTCAGGGAGAAATTGGGGAAAAATTGGGGGGGGAAAGGGGGAAGAATGGGGAAAGAAGGGGGGAAATGGGGGAAATTTTGGGGGAAATTGGAAGTCAAATTGGGGGGAAAAAGGGGGAGAAAAATGGGGAAAGAATGAGGGAAAAAATGGGGAAAAAAAGGAGGGGAAAATGGGGAAAGAATGAGGGGAAAAATGGGGAAAAAAGAGGGAAAAGTGGGCCAAGTGTGGACTGGGAATTCCAGGGGGGTCTCTCACCTGCGCCCCATCTTTGGCGTGAAGGGGGGGGTGGGGTTTTCCAGGGATCTGGGAAAAGAACGGAAAATCCCCCTGGGGTCACCCAAAATCCCAAATTTCCCCAATCCTGGTGAGCTCGGCCTCGAAATCCAGGGATTCAACCCCAAGCCCCGTTCATTCCATGGATTTTCCCATGGATTTTTTCCATGGGTTCTGCAGGAATTTTGGGACCTGAAGGAATAAAAATCCCTCCCTCCCTCCGACCTCCTTAATCCCATTCCCAAAAACCCCAAATCCCAAACTCCCCCTGATCCCAACCTCCCCTCCTTTCCCACATTTCCATCCCAAACCCCAAAACCTGGGATCAGAATTCTGGGAATTCTCACCTGTTGGAGAGGCTGGAGGTGCGAGAACTCCCAAAAAACCCCAAAAATCCCAAATTCCCCCAATCCCAATGCTCTGACCTTCCCGGATTTTGTTCCAACACCCCCATTATCCCAAACCCGGGAATTCAGGATTTCCATTGATTTCTCACCTGTTGGAGAGGCTGGAAGTGCGAGAACTCCCAAAATAACCCCAAATCCCAAACTTCCCCCGATCCCAATTTCCCTTCTTTTCCAAGAGTTCCAACCCACACCCCAAAATCTGGGTCTGGGCCCCCCAGAATTCCAAGAATTCTGGGATTTCTGGGATTCCCCACCTGTTGGAGAGTCTGGAGGTGCGAGAATCTCCAAACAAACTCCAAATCCCAAATTCCCCCGATCCCAACCCTCCCACCTCCCCATATTTCATTCCCACACCCCCGTTACCCCAAACCCCGTGTCGGTGCCCCCCGGAATTCCGGGATTCCCATGGAATTCCATGGGTTCCCCACCCGTTGGAGAGTCCTAGAGGCATGAGAATTGCCCCCAAAATCCCAAATTCCCCCCATCCTGACGCTCCCACCTCCCCATATTTGATTCCCAGAGCCCCGTTACCCCAAACCCCGTGTCGGTGCCCCCCGGAATTCCGGGATTCCCATGGAATTCCATGGGTTCCCCACCTGTTGGAGAGGCTGGAGGCGGAGGAGGAGGCCGAGTGCAGCCGGGGCGTGTCGCTGCCCGTGTCCATGTCCACGTCGCTGCGCGAGCGCGGCACCAGCTCCGAGCGCCGCGAGCGCCGCAGCTCCTCCCGGCCCTTGAGCGACTCCGAGCGGCCCAGGCGCACCTCGCACCGCGAGCTGCTGCGAACGGGGCAGAAAAGGGGGGAATTGGGGCAAGAATCATGGGATTCGGGGAAAAAAATCCTGGGATATATGGCAAAAAAATCCCAGGAATTAGGGCAAAAAATCCCGGGATTCACGGGACAAATGAGGCGCACCTCGCACCGCGAGCTGCTGCGAACGGGGCAGAAAAGGGGGATTCTGGTAAATCCCATTGAAATCGGGCGCACCTCGCACCGCGAGCTGCTGCGAACGGGGGCAGAAAAGGGGGAATTGGGGCAAGAATCATGGGATTCGGGGAAAAAAATCCTGGGATATATGGCAAAAAAATCCCGGGATTCACGGACAAATCAGGCGCACCTTGCAACGGGAGCTGCTGCAGAACGGGGCAAAAAACGGGGAATTAGGGGAAAAATTCATGGATTCGGGGGTAAAAAATCCCCAGGAATTACAGCAAAAAAATCCTGGGATTCGCGGCAAAAAATCCCGGGATTTATGGGAAAAAATCCCG